TTGATTTGGGCAATGGACAAGCTAAACTTTATCCTGCATGGTGGGAGGTCGATAAGGTTAGTATTTATTTTAGATTGAGTTTAAAGGTTTTATGAAATAAGTGCGCAAATGAATGAATGATTACTTATGATTGCAGGTGTTTATCCTTGTTTTGGAACGTAAACATTGGATTCTCGTCGAGCTTCAGCTCCCATCCCTTAAGACAATAGTGTATGACAGCATGATAAATTACATATCATTGGCTTATTTAAGAGATATTATTAAGGGATGGAGCTCTCATTTGGCTAAATTCTTGGATGCGATCAATTATTGGACTCGTTCTGGAAACAAGAAGCCAAAGAAGCTCAATATTACAGTTATTAGAGACGAGACCGCGCCACAACAAACGGGAGGAGCCAGAGGAGATTGTGGTCCTCTTGTATGCTTGGCGTTGGAGCGTTTGAAGACGGGAAGCACCAAGTATCTACCTCCCACCGATAGAGATAGAGCTGCAGTAGGCTTGTGGTTTCGGCATTATATGGCTAAATCGATATATACGAGACGCTGCCTACCTGCATCCGCGTTATAAAAATGTCCATAAACAATTGGTAAGTTTATAGACTTTTGGTTTGAAAATGTTTGGTTAAGTACCTAGAATTCAATAATTTGTTGTTTGTAGGTTTTAGATGTGTAGAAAGTGTTGTTTGAGCAAATGTTTGGTTTCTGCAGGTTAATCTCAGAAGTGAACTGCGTGAAAATGATGTATGGCTGGAAAAGTTGATTCAATAGTTTAATTGATTGTTTTTTGATTGTTTAATTGATTTGTAAAAGTTGATTCAATAGTAGATGATTGGAAATAAGAATTATTGCTTATTTTTTGATTGTTTAATTGATTTGTAAAAGATGATTTGTAAAAGTTGATTTGTGTAATTGATGCGAACATAATTCTTATTTGTGCTTGTTTAATTGATTGAAATGTAATGGTTGATTTTGTTGATTTCAATCTGCATTATGTTGAAGGCAAAAATGACTATCGCAATGCGAAATGAAAATCGCAATGCGAAATGAAAATCGCAACGAGAGAATCGCAATGCGGAAATGAAAATCGCAATGCGGAAATGAAAATCGCAACGAGAGAATCGCAATGCGATTTTCATTTCGCATTGCGATTTCATTTCCGCGTTGCGATTCTCTCGTTGCGATTTTCATTTCGCATTGCGATTCTCTCGTTGCGATTTTCATTTCGCATTGCGATTTTCATTTCCGCATTGCGATTCTCTCGTTGTGATTTTCATTTCGCGTTGCGATTTTCATTTCGCATTGCGATTTTCATGTTGGGATTTTCATTTCGCATTGCGATTCTCTCGTTGCGATTGTAATTTCCGTGTTGCGATAGTCAAATGCATGCCTAATAAGTGATAACAACTGAATAACAAGAGTTGGTTAAGTCAAAATGGTTGGCCTGAGTCATTAATTCAACTGAAAATGTTAAAAGTTCACACATAAAATCCACATAATACAACGTTTGCATTTAAAAATCACCTAAGTTAACAGTCCCAAAAGGTGAAGCCAATTGTGATTGGGATTTTAAAGATGATTGCCTTTTGCTTGACACCATATGAGCTTTGGATTTTGATGAGGATCCATATTTTGGTAGAGGAAAAGATGATTTTGATGGCACTGGTGATCTACATGTCAACCTTGTATGACCACTTTCCTTGCACCGACTACATGTCGATCTCTTCTTCTCTTCACCCTTAGACGGTATACGATCGTGACTTTTTGGTCGGCCAGGTAGCCTTCTGTCCATGGCTAGTGGCAAAACTGTTTGTAAGTCATCTAGTATGTCCCACTCAGAAGGATGTGGAATAGGGTAGACAATCTCGGCATAAGTCTGTCGATAAACTTCTGTAGTGTAGCAATCCATAGCGTATGCGCTTGAATCATCTTGGTTTAAATGAAGAGCAACTTTTATAACATGGCCACACGGATAACCAGATGTTTGCCATTTCATACAACTACACGTCTTTGCATTTAGATCGACTAGCCCATTTAAGTTATTATCCAGTACTTGAAACAAAGTGTTTGAACATGGTTCAACTCTCCATGACGTTGACTTCACAACACGTTTCGTTATCTTTTTTTCAGTCCATGGTGTAACACGATGTTCCAATGTTCCTGTAAATTTAAATAAACAATACTTAGTAAAATATATAAATATGATAAGTTACGAATTCAAATAAATAATACCTGCATGGTTTCTTTTCTTGTAGTACCACTGTTGAATAGAGGCTCGAAAAAACTCCATTAACATAGTAATGGGTAATTTCTGGGAATGACGACTTAGAGCGTTGATTGATTCTGCACTATTAGACGTCATGAAACCATATCTTGCTCCAAGTTGATGTACTCTTGACCATCTTTCAAACCCAACATCTTCTAGTGTTTGAGCACACTGAGGCAAAACACGTCTTAAACAATTTATATGCTTATTGAAATCCACTTCCCGATAAGCTTTTACAGCCTTCCAGTATGTCCATTTGTGCTTTTTTATACCAGCAGACCTTGATTTTAGATTTCTATACAATGAACACCACAAAGTCCATGAAAAGCATCTGGGAAACACCTTCTAACAGCGTTGTCAATTGAGTTTGCCCTATCGGATATGATTGTCAGATTGCTAATAGGACCTATGCAATCCCTAAGATACCCCATAAACCATGTCCATGAATCAGAGGTTTCAGATTTGCCAACCCCGTAAGCTATTGGCAATATCCCATTGTTAGCATCCATGGCTACTGCTAATAAGTTTACTCCAAGGTATCGACCTTTCAAATGTGCTCCGTCAACTATAATAACTGGGCGCATGCAAGTAATAAACGAACGAATCTACAAAATAATATACACAAGAAATATAATCATTTAATTGTGAAATGCATGTAACTAACAAAAATGAGTCAACAAAATTATATTGATTTACTAACCGTAGCACCAATGGCGATAAACAGCAACTCAAAGTGTCCATCTCTATCTGTTTTGATATGAGTTACCGACCCAGGATTTTTCAGCTTTAAATTGTGACAATAAGCCGGCAGTTGGGCAAACGATGCTTCGGGCGACCCCCTCAACAATTCCAAGGCATAACATTTGGCTCTCCAAGCTTGAGAATATGATATACTAATCTTGAACCGAGCATTCATGTCAGTCATAATTTCATGTCCCCGATATACCCTGCCATTCAAAAACATTAACTCAGCCAGAAACCACCCAACCCTTTTTGTTTGCCTGTCTATGGTGAGGAAAAACTTGGGTTCTTGAACATGTATGTTTATCAATAAAAGTCCTAACTTGAAACATTTCGCAATCTTTTATTCTCTTTGCAATCATACGCCACGTACAGTTTTTGTCAATCATATACCTTGTTTCGAAACGATCTTTGCTTGATTTGTTAACTTTTAGTTGATAGCCATCTTCCACACATTTCGTATACAAAGCTATCTTCAAGTCTTCCTTTGTATCAAAACAATCATCTTTCTTGATACGAATAACTTTTGTGTAACAATCAACTGCTTTTTTTACCAACTCTTCTTCCGGTATCTGAAGTAATTCTGGCATATTCCAGTTATACGCCCGTGGCATTTTCTTTTCTTCGGGGACTTTTTCTTCTTCTTTTTCTTCTTCAGGATTATATGAATTACAGAATGGATGTTCAACATGTTCATTCACAGTCGTAACTTCCTCCTCATTATCATCAACAATACATTCTTCGGCAACGGCTGTTTCATCATCAAAATTCGGGTATTGACCAATATCAAAATCATTACACGCAGGGTCTGTTTCTTCTTCTGAAACATCATCAAAATCCGTGTATTGACCATATCAAAGTCCGGATATTGACCAAGACCAAATTTCGAATACTGACTAGTACTCACAATTTTTTCTGTTGGCTCATCATCGTCTAACTGGTCAATACGAAAACCGGAATTTGGTGCTGAAAGTTGATTGGGATTTGGATTAGAGAAAGGTTGTGGGTTTTGAGAAAAACTTAGTTGATTACTACCCGCTACTGACCCAACAATACTACTTCTAGGTTCAACAACATACAATGTAACATCATCTTGTGAAACACTAATGTAAGCAATGAATCGTTCAACATCTTCATTGTCGGTTAACAAATAAACTTTACTATTTCTCTGATAAGATAGCCTAAATCCACTTAGGGGCTCTAAATTCAATTTATTTGAAACACGTAGCATTAGAGTTTCATAAGTTAACTTTTGTAAAGACAATTTTAGTTGAAGATTCATGGGTAAAGGCATATATTGTAAAACACCATGAACATTATCCCATGACCCTCCAAAACACAAATCTATCCAAACATGATCAACATTAGATGATTTCATGGTTGTAAATTAATTTACTAAACAGACGAGCTGCGAAACTAAAACCTGTTGCCGGATTGGGAAGGATGTCGTTGGATATAGGAACGGATGTCGCCGGAGAGAGTGATAGATGGAGATGGAATGAGTTGCGATTTAGGGATTTAGTTTATGATTTGCTGCTGTTGCGTAGTTATATACCCAAAATTTCAGTGTTGTGATTTACAGATTCTCGTTGCGATTTACGGATTATCGTTGCGATTTACAGATTCTCGTTGCGATTTACGGATTATCGTTGCGATTTACGGATACGCGTTGCGATATACGGATACGCATTGCGATTTACGGATACGCGTTGCTATTTACGGATACACGTTGCGGTTTACGGATACGCGTTGCGATTTATGTGTTCGCGTTGCGATTTTCATATTCGCGTTGCGATTCTGGAAAATCGCAATGCGAATTTGTACTATCGCATTGCGATTTTCAAGAATCGTGTTGCGATTTTGGAAACTGATTTGCGATTCTGGGGATCGCGTTGCGATTTTTATTTCGCGTTGCGATTTTGTTGGTCATTTTGGCAAATCCAAAAAAAGTTGGTTAAAATCGTATATTATAAGGCATTTTTGGTCACTGAAGCGATTTTCTCTTTTTTTAACTACACCGTTACCTCCTTTTCCTCTGAGATTTTTGCTCATCGACTGAGAGAGGAGCAGAGCGTTGCTAGGGTTTAAAAGGTACGGACTCTAAATTTTTTATTTTTTAAATTTACATAACTAGAATTTATTTATTTGATTTCCTTTTTAAATTCATTATCTGGTTTTATTGGATTGCGAAGTCCAATTTTGTTTCATGAGATCTGAAATTCGAATTTTGATAATATCATCATTCCACTGGGGTTTATCTAATTGCCGCTTTTCAATATCTTATGATTCTAGATTGTTTAGAGTTTTCCTAAGAGTATTTCTTAACTTTTTTTTTTGGAATGCAATGTAAAGGCCATGGCAGGATCAGGGAGTTCGATGCTATATTCATTTCTTTTATTTACTGTCATTCTCTCACTCCAAATGATGTATCGAGATAAGTTAGCTTCGTCGGAACTTTTCACAATACTTGGTGGATTCAGTAGCTCCCTCTTGTTTCTTGTGTTACTAACAGTGAGTCTCCTGACGCCCTGAATCTGCTCCTTTATTTATTTATCACCCAGATTCGCGGTCCCCAGTTTATGTTCCGAGCTATGGTTTTATTCCGGTCATATGATCTATTTGTTGATGTTGTGAAAGCCAGCATATTACAATCTTGGCTCTGAGAACTGAATAGCGTTCTTTTGTGACTTGCATTACTTGATTTGGCATTTTAATCTGTATTTTCATGCCTTTTCTCCTTTCAGTTCATTGGGAATTTCCAGGAGTGGAATGGGATTAGGACCAGTTGGGGTGCTTCTTTTCATTATTTTTGTCTGCTTTTGTTTTTAATTAGCTGTTGCGAGATATTACTAACAAAGATAAGGGAGAAAAAGCCTCTTAACATTCAAGATGACATTATTCAACACTCAAGCCCCAAGCAATATAGCTATACAAAAGCAACAAACCTGATCTGGGGCTCGGAATGTTACGATATCATTTAGAGCAGGACTTCTGAAGAAGTACGAGGCCTGGACAAGTTGCAAAGTGAGCTAAAATGAGAATAAACAACGCTATGGTGCCTATAAGAAAAATCAGAGTCGTTACTCTCAAGTCAATCTCAATCATGATGCATTTTACCATGCAAAAATAACAGACATTAATGTGAAGAACATTAAGAAAAATAACAGGGTTTGTTCGTAAATCAGGAAAAATGACATTTTCGTTTCCCTCTGAAGTCAATCCAGGATCTTATGCTTTGGGGAATAGAATGTCTGGAATCAATCCGAATTGTTTGCGAACTTATATTGATCTGGAAACAAGAATTAAATATTGTTCTTTTCCTGAGAAAGTGTAGGATAAGCAAATCCATCTTTGGACAAAACATTACTGAAAATCTCCTATAAGAAAGCCATTGAACAACGAATAAAAGAATTTCAATCACGCTCTAATCAAGTAAGCTGTTTCAAAGTACTCAGCAGCAAATTCGGAAAAACTGCTACCCAGAAGTTCAAAAACACAAAATGATAGCACAATTAACCAAAACCGAGATCATCCACAGAATTCAATCTGAAGCAAGGCAGAAATGGGATTAAAATAGCCACATATTTCCATGATTTCTAAAGCTACAAATCCATTAACTGAGTTCAGCTGCAGAGATCTCCTAGAATTAACCATTATTAAACAAACAAAACCATCAGTAGAAGGAAAGACTAAAGTTATGATTTTTTTTTCTTCCACCTTTTGGACAATGATCCGATCACCAACACGAAGAGTAGGGTACATGGAAGGAGGAATGAAACGAATCTCTGAAAACGTGGTCCACAAAAGAGCGATGACTAAGAACCTAAAGAACCCATCAAGGCCAGGCCACCTAAGGAAAGCCCAACTCTGGCTAGGCATCCATTTTAGTGAAGGGAAAGTTATCGGAGACTTGTACAAAGCACATGGTCTCAAGAAGCTCATCGTCCCTGAATCCAAACAATGGCTGAAGCTCACCCCCAGCGCTTCAAAGTTTAGTTGTTGCTAAAGTTGGGTTGATGGAGAAAGTGCTCGTGAACTGGGGGCTCTTTTTGTAAAAGAGGTTTCTTTGACCAGATTTTGCATTGGAGAGTAAGATTCATTGTCGAGAGACAAACTCGATTTTTTATTTGGTTGGAATTGAAATTATAAATCGTTGTGATTTACACTGCAATTTTATTATTGTATTACCAGTAGCAATTACCCTATTTGAGAAAATAATCTCAGACAAATATTATTTGAACCAATAAAAAATACAAACGCATTATTTAGAAATTTTAGCCTATCAAATCGAAACATCATATTTGTTTTAGAAATTAATACTAAAATTGGGTAAATAAATTTTTATTTGAAAATTAAAATTTAAATGACATCATGATTGCAATTTTCATTTTTTATAATTTAATTTAAATTGGATAATACATAGATTATAGATTCCCTTATCCAATTCAACTCAAATTTAATATAAAATTGCTCTAACCAATATTATCAGTTTAACTAAAAATAAATAAAAATCTTAAATCTTAAATAGATAAGTAAATAATTTACACCATGTCATATGCTTACGATCGTCACACAACGAAATCTGCGATGTAATGAAAGTTATACATTATAGAATGCTCGTGAGTCGTGACAGCGGCTCAACTCAACGCGGTCGGGTCCTCAACAAAAATCTGCGCAGCTGATTTAGAACTACCGAGTGAACTCATCTCAGAAGCGGAGTGGAACATTTTATCCAACAAAGAATTGGAACAGGTGTGCTGTTGCCGATGTCATCAAATGCCTTGTAATGTTAAGTTGTGGAAGAAATGTGATGGTATTGAAGGAGGGCAATACTTCTTTGCAACACATTTATACTGTGGCCAAAAAAAAATGCAGCACATTTCAGCAAAGAAACATGGTTTTCATAGTATTAGTTAGATGCAACCAAATCTTTACCTTGTGCTGGCTGTACTTCTCCCTGATTGCGGGTAGCGTCAAATTGTCGTTGTTGCAGCACAGTCTATGAAGATCCTTTACGCACTCGAATAGGTCAGAGGGCTTATACAGTGTGTAATGCTGCAAGGTAGAATTCTGCACCATAATAAATGGAGATCAGAACACTGATGCCAAAGAAAACAATCATGGCCTTTACACACTAGTTGGCACATACCCAGGGTTTCTTTGCTGGAACAAGCATGAATTTGGCCAGGAAAATAGCCGATGCAGCCACAAGTGATGGAGCATAGCAAAGCATGTTGTACTCGAGGAGAGAGAGTTCAGCAATGTAGTTGGCCATGCACTCCAATTGCATTAATGGAACCTCATTGATCCCTTGAGCAGCACGAACAAACCGTCTGAAATGTCATTTGAATGATCAAAACAGTTAATAACTGAAAACATGAAAACCAGAAACCATCAATGATGGGATAAAAGAAATACCTTAAGAAACACTTTGCAGTTGAAGCAGTCATTTCAAACTTCAAGTAATTCAAAACAGACGATTCCATCTCTAGAACCTGTTTTAAGGTAGAAGAAACAGGGTTTTAATGTCTCATTCAGATTCGATAAAAGTAGGGCTGAGCATCTAAGGAACATGTAGTTCAAATAATCGAGAAGCTGAACCTCTTCCTTGAAATATGTATTATCAGTGATGTAGCAGAACTCTTCCACTTGTGGGGCGCAAATCTCCTCATATTTACTGATAAAATCCAACACTTTTGTTAATACATACCCAAAACAAATGAATTGTACAGAGAACATAGGTGTGATAATATAAAGAGAAACAAAACAAAGTAGGAGGATGGCATTTCTTACGCAGCAATCATCATGCAAGCAACACCCAGCAACTGTAGTCGTTGCCGGTTCATCATATTTCCTGAAAGGTATCGATCTATGTAGTTAATGGTCAAATATAATGTATCTGGTACAAGCCTATACTCTTCAGCCACCTGCATTTGAAATTGAATCCTATAAATGTTAATGGACGATGGTGGTGATGGCAGCAGAGACTATGTCAACAGAAGACATAGAATATGCATATAACTTAAAAAAAGAAAACAGACAGAAAATTACTTCTACAAGCCAATCAATAAGTATTGCACGCATGCTGGAATTAATGTCTTTCTGAATTGTCTCCATGAAGTCCGTTGAAGGTCTTTTCTTCAACTGGAAACCAAAAATAACATTATACATTTTTTAGAGCTCTGCTTATCTATTTAATCACATCTTCAAATGTATAATACCTCAGATGCCCGTAGGTGCTTGTAAATATCACAAGCATATGTTGCACAAAGCTGTGGATCCATGTAATTGTCATCAACATCCATTAGCTTATTACCACTTTCCTTCTCTGCCACAGCATCTCGATTACAGAAGTTTCCTGCTATGAAATCAATGACTAACCAAATGAGTATGTTTCAAGAGAATGCTAAGAACCAAACACATTTTGTAGAACATGATGCCTGGACCTGCTGCTTCTACATCATGGTCCGAAATGCAGAGATTGCTGAATGCCTTTCGCTCCATGTAACCGATCACTGAAACATCACGGTTGTCCATGTATTCCACTTCGGGGCTTTTGAAAGAATCACACGTGGACATTGTCTCATCCATGGAAACTGATAATGAACCTTCTGATTTACTTGGAGAAAACTCCATGATACACTGTGCTGTTGAAGGGGGCAACGCCACTTCATTTTCTGTCTGAAAAGATGAAACAACCTTGGCCGGCAAAACTGAACTTTGTCTTACGCTTGTAGGAGGAAGAACATGTCCTGGGAGACCTGCATTTGTAACTGATTGTGTCTTCTTTGCCTTTGAGATTTTGTTTGAACTTGGTACCTTCAAATTTGAAATTTAAAATCAAAAAATTCAAAAGCTGGATTACCCAACAACACAAAAATATAAATGATATCCATTAGTTCACAGATTTCTACTTAAAAGTAAACAGAGCCAGCTGCCGGGTACAGTTAAAAAAAATTGAGAACAGAGTTTCAAATTTTCTCTTAATTCTTTGGAAAAACATCTGATATTTCCATTTCAACATTTCCTTTAACAGCATTGTACCAGAAAATAAGAATCATGCAGCAAAGAAAAAGAAAAAGAATCAAATATATAAACAAAAAGAAGACTTAAGACCCACCAAAGAAGAGGCCGAAGCCGAGCTTCTTAAGCTATTCTTTTGGTTGGTAATGTTAGTGAGAGGGACTCTCCTTTTAGTCAAAGAAGCCGTGAATTTTCCCACATTCTCCGACGACGACGCATTTCGCTTGGCCAGAGACGAAGTCGTGGACGATGAAAACGACGATCGCCGATTGTTACCATTTTGCGTCGACATTCTCATCAGCTTTCTTTTTCGATAGAGAGACTATTATTGCAGGAAGCAAACTTCGGTCGCGGTTTTTATTCGAAATTTTCTCAACGATGCGAAGGACATTTGAAATAACGAAAAAGATCTTAGCCGTTGATCCCAGTCGATAATCGTTAGGAGCGTGGTGTGGGGACCGCTGACTCTGTTTAGAGTTCTCTCCGCCGGAGTTATTTATCGGTCACACATAAAACCAACAAAAATATGACACGTTTGAATCACAAAACCTGTGGATTGGTTTATCAACGGACAGAGTGGATTTGACTGGTTGGTGATCGTGTACAAAAGTCACCGCTAGGTGTCTTTGGATTCAGGTGGGTTTTTTGAATTCGAATTTCAAACGGTCATAAGATCTGTCTTGTCTTTTACTCACTTCTATGGCAACCACCTAGTAAATATAATATAAATAAATAA